GAGTGTAGAGACTGCTGCAACTACCGTCTCGCTCTCTACACCTGCCTTCCCCGTGCCCGTACCGAAGGTGAAACCCAAGCCAAAGGAGACGGCGGAAATGAAGGTAATGACGAAGCCAAAGCCCATCCGCCGTAACCTCATGCGCAACCCCTCGATGTTTGGTCCTGAACTGCCGTGTCCACAGGCGACTCCATCGCCTCCGTCGCGTATCCCGCTGTCGTCTCCTATCGGATCTCCTGTTGCAGTATCCCTTGCATCTCCCGCGACTGCGCCTTCCCTGTCCCCGAGTACACCTGCTACACCTCTACTCGCAATCCAGGCGCGTCCACGCACGCTTCGCCGTGCTGCGCGTAGGATCTCGTTTGGGAGTTTGAGGGCTGCGAGTCCTGTTTTCTCTGGCGAGAGTGGGATGGTCACGCTTGGGAGTGCGTTCCAGCTTGCTTGATTTCACTTTCGATGGTTTGGTGTGAGCAGTGCTCGCAAACATCTATCTTCGATGCTTCGATTTTGATTTTCTCGTCTCCTTTGGCTTCATCTTTGTATATCTTGGATTCGATGTACTTGTATTTTTGTCGATCGTTCCATCTGCTTCATCTGATGAGTCCTTTTGATTTCTTTCTTTCCCCCAGTTTTTCTTTTTTCTCCGCTTGACGTATTTCCTTATTTGCGTCTCTTTTGTTCAGCATTCGCAGGTTGCTCCTTACTTATGGTTGCTTATTTTTCTCAATCTTCTCTTGCTGTCGTTTTTTTGAAACCCGACCTGGTTTTGGTACTTTGTTTACATTTTGTCTTGTTCGCCTTCACCTCACTCTGACGTCCTTCCTATTTCCTCCGCTTATCCCCTCCCGCCCATTCCTTCGCTCCTGACCTGTCTTTTTCGTTTTCCAATCGTCAAAGGTATGTATCGCATGTCTCTAGCCTTGTATCTGCTGACGATCCATATTCCATGCTGCATTTATTAGGACGCCTACACACTCGCTCGTTAGCCATTATGCATGATCATGCACGCCCCTTCGTTCTCCGCTTCAAGCAACCACTATCGCTCTCGCTCTGCCACGAAACGCGCAGTCCACACTCCCTGTTTTTTCGTTTCTTGTTCTCATCAATATCGGTCTTTGCGTCTCCTTGGGACGGGTTTAGACTACGGATGGAGGAAATCTTCCTTCAAGGAATGGAAGATTTCTATTCGATTCTCACTCTCATGCTATTCGCTCCTCAAACTCGTCGACGAGCTTGATCTTCTATCACCAGTGCATTTATTCAATTCCGTCATTACTTGCTTATGAACCACCAAATTGGATCATCACACATTCATTAACTTCGCATTCAAGCTGTACCATCATCGCCTCTTCATCATCTTTCCTATAGCCTCCGTTCCTGTCTAAATCACTTGATCGCTCTTTCCTTGTGCAACAACCCCCTCCTCTTTTGTACAACCACCCTTTTATTCCCTTCTTTGTACGACTGCCCTCGTCTCCACATGTTGATCGTGTTTTATGACAAGGAATTGGATACGACTCATGTATGTACTTCTGGTCGCATTTGTACTAATCAGCGTGCACATGAATTAGACAAAAGATTGTGGATTTTTTGCCTCGGGGTCGACTTGGAGCGCCGCCGAATCAATCATGTGTAGATCCGTGATTGGGTGTCATCGATTGGCTGAGGCAGTCCGAACCCTCGCTATACCCAAAGAAGACTTGAAAGAGCGCGCTAGACTACAAACAGTTCCCGGATCTTTTGCGGCGTTCAAACATTTTGCGCTACCCACTCCACCTTGACCTCATCGGTATATGGATGTACATTCTTGCTACTTGAATTCACTTTGATCTCAGATATGGTGCCTGGCACCTTACTTCGGTGGCATAAGCGCTAGATAGTACTGGTATATCAGGCACGAATGCTATCGTCGTACGCCCACAAAGTTCCTCCGCTCGCTCACCCCCATCCTCTCACAGTATGACTCTAGTCTCGAACGATCCCAGTTGGTGGCCAACCATCGATCAGAATATTTTTTACAGCTATTTCGTAGGTCCGTGGAGAGTCAGCTGCATCATGACCCTGATGAATCGATTAACATTGGCCATGGTTTCACAGTTGTCTCCTGTGCTGCGGTCATATACGATTGGGGTGAGCAATATTTAAGTATGAAATACCACTGACTCATCATGTGATTTATAGGACTTATGTTCGCACAAGAGGTAGGTTGTCACCATTGCAGGAGCAGCCATCTCGCTGACAACAGTTTTATAGGTGGAACTAATCTGGGTGAGCGGACTCTCACATGAAAAGCTTGAAGAAAATATGACAACTAACTCGCGGCAGAGGCAACGGTGGTCTATGATGACCGTTTTGTATCTCACTGTACGTAGCTTGTAATTTTGACCGTGGTTAGTTAGTTGTACTGACGGGAACGTTTCATAGGCACGATATGTTGCAATAGGATACTCTCTGTACGTTTTGACGTTCAAACCATCGGTGTCACGCTCATTACCCGTCTTTCGCCATCAGGGTTAACATGTTGAGTACGTCTCCTTACATAGATCCTGTTTCTTTCTTGTGACGGGCGGCATACAGTCAGTCTTCCAACGATTCCGAAGACAGATGTAGTGAGTACCCCGCACCGATGCCTTCCATTCTCGTCTAAACAACTGAACTATGATGCAGGGGTGAGTGATATTCTTGAACAACTCATTGGTTCAATATAACGACTCCCACAGTTGTGAGTTTGTTTGGAGCCTGTGATCTCCGAAAGCTGAGAACTAATTTTACTGATTTTAGGCCTTATCATGATCGACGTAATTAATTGGACGGGTGACGTCGTATATATAATACTCGGCGGTGAGCGATACACCTCCATGATATTGACTTGATTGAAACATCATGCAAGTCATCGCGATCGCTCGGTTGCATGCCATGTATCAGGGATCTAGAAAAGTGCTGATATTTCTCCTTGTCATCTTTCTGGCCATCAGAATCCCCATTGAGGTGATAAATGCAATAACGGCGACGCAGCTTACAGGGGGTAGGCTTTGATTATATATCAAATGTGTAAGAGGCTCACTGACATGTACCAGAGGAATACATTCTTTCCGGCATCTATAAGTGCAGAATTGGTTATCCGGCAGTTACCTTATTGCTGGGTAGCATACCTTGGATACTTGGCACCATATGGGAGGTCCTTACACTGTGTCTCGCGGTCTGGATTGCTGTCAAGCACTACCGTGAACTACGAGGACGCTCAACAGGAGATATTATGAGGGACTGTTTCACGGTGTTAATGCAAACTCATATTAGTTACTTTGCAAGGTGAGCTCATGATGTGAATGGATTTTCTTGTTCTGCTGAAGTTTTGCGTGCGCAGTTTTTTGGTCGTCTCTTCCCTCCAGATCAGTTTTCTCTCTCCAAGTTTCTTACCGGTATGCCGATCTATCACCGGCCTCTACGTGTGACCATGATTCATCATTTCTATAGAACGAATATTCCTTTGGCGTCCAATTGTATATTTGTCTCATTCAAATATTCCAGACGGTGCAGCTGTCTGTACTGGGACCACGCCTCATCCTTAGCGTTCGAGAATATAACGCTAAGCTCGTGGCCGACTCCGACACAGCAAGCGCTATGACTTCAATGGCTTTCGAGGAACGCCTCCATGTGGAAACTAGTAGAAGCGTGTAGTACGGGAGATACTCGATGTGATTTACAATTGGCAGGTCGTCTGTAAAAAATGTTTTTTAGTTTTTATTGATTCCAAGTTTTGTCGTGGTACTTCTTCAAATTCTTGGAAATGCATGTGAAAGAGACACACATTCCTAGTAATGTTTCGCCTCCAAGTACTCTCTAGATAGTAAGTAGAGCAAGTAATATTGTCGGAGTTCGAAAGTCGTCTACAACGTACTGATATGTCTGGAGACTACCTTTGATCAGCAGTGTGCGTTGAATGTTGAATATAATCTTGGTTTGATTGACGCGGACCTCGCCATCTTCTCTCACTATTTTCTCCTTCATCTGGCGAGTTCTTTCCCCAAGTTGTTCTTTCCTTTCCGCTTGACGTATTTCTTCCTTTGCGTCTCTTTTGTTCAGCCTTCGCAAGTTGCTACTCGCTCGTGTTTCTCAATCTTCTCTGGCTGTCGCCTTTGTGAAAACCGACCTGGTTTTGGTACTTTGTTTACATCTTGTCTTGTTCGCCTTCACCTCACATCCTGACGTCCTTCCTATTTCCTCCGCTTATGTCCTCCCGCCCATCCCTTCGCTCCTGACCTGTCTTTCTCGTTTTCCAATCGCCAAAGGTATGTATCGCATGTCTCTCGCCTTGTATCTGTTGACGATCCATATTTCATTCTGCATTCATTAGGACGCCGACACACCCGCTCGTTCGCCATCATGCATGATAATGTGCTCCTTCGTTCTCCGCTTTAAGTAACCATTGTCACTCTCGCTCTGCCATAAAACACGCAGTTCACACTCCCTGTTTTTTTTTTTTCGTTTCTTGATCTCATCAATATCGGTCTCTGCGTCTCCCTGGGACGGGTTTAAATTACGGATGGAGGGAAGATTTCTATTCGATTCTCACTCTCCGGCTATTCGCTTCTCAAGCTCGTCGACGAGCTTGATCTTCTATCACCAGTGCATTTATTCAACTCCGTCATTACTTACTTATGAACCACCAAACTGGATCATCACACATTCATTAACTTCGCATTCAAGTTGTACCATCATCGCCTCTTCGTCATCGCATTTCCTATTGCCTCCGTTCCTGTCTAAATCAGTTGATCGCTCTTTCCTTGTACAACAACCCCCTCCTCTTTTGTACAACCGCCCTTTTGTTCCCTTCTTTGTACGACTGCCCTCATCGCCACACGTTGATCGTATTCTATGACAAGGAATTGGATACGACTCATGTATGTACTTTTGGTCGCATTTGTACTAATCAGCGTGCACATGAATTAGACAAAAGATTGTGGATTTTTTGCCTCGAGGTCGACTTTGGGCGCCGCCGAATCAATCATGTGTTAGATTTGTGATTGGGTGTCATCGATTGGCCGAGGCAGTCCGAACCCTCACTATACCCAAAGAAGGCTTCAAAGATGGCACTATCTTACAAACAGCTCTCGGATCTTTTGTGGCGTTACACATCTCGCGCTAGCCACTACCATCAATCACTGCCATCTTGATCTCATCGATATATGGATGCACGTTCCCTTGCTACTTGAATTCATGCCGAAGTACGTTGATCTCAGATATACCTCACACGTTACTTTGGTGATATAAGCGCTAGACAGTGATATATAAACGTCTACTAAGTTACCCCGCTCTCTCACCCCCATCCTCCAATAGCATGACTGTAGTCTCAAACGATCCCAGTTGGTGGCCGACCATCCATGCGAATATTTTTTACAGCTATTTCGTAGGTCCGTGGAGAGTCAGCCGCATCATGACCCTGATGACCCGATTAACATTGGCCACGGTTTCACAGTTGCCTCCTGTGCTGCGGTAATATACGACTGGGGTGAGCAATATTAAGTTTAAAAAGACCACTGACATCATGGAATTTCTAGGACTTACGTTCGCACAAGAGGTAGGTTGACACTGTTACAGAAGCAGCCATCTTGCTGACAACAATTTTATAGGTGGAACTAATCTGGGTGAGCGGACTCTCATATCAAAAGAACGATGTGAAAATATCATAACTAATTCGCGGCAGAGACAACGTTGGTCCCTGATGACTGTTGTGTATCTCGTTGTATGTAGCTTGTATTTCCAAGCGTGATCAACAAGTCATACTGACGTGAGCATATCCTAGGCGCGATATGTTGCAATAGGATTCTCTGTGTACGTTTCGATGTCTAAGCTATTGGTGTTACACTCATCGTCCATCTTTACATTAAGGATCAAAATTTTCCGTATGTCTGTCCGAATGGACTCTGTTTCTTTCTTGTGACGGGGGGCATACAGAGATTGTTCCAACAATTTCGATAACAGATGCATTGAGTATTCCACACTGGAGCCTTCCATTCCCGTCCAATCAACTGAACTACCATGTAGGGGTGAGTGAGATTCTCGAACAAGTTGGTTCAATATAACGACTCGTACAGTTGTGAGTTTCTTGCAAGTCTGCGATCCTCCGAAGCTGATAACTGATGTTGCTGGATTCGTCAGGCCTTATCATGGACGAGGCACTGGCATGCATGGGCGACGTTGTAGATATAATGCTAGGCGGTGAGAATTACACCACCGTGATATTGACTTGACTGAAATACCATGCAAGTCATCATGATTGCTCGCTTGCATGCCATGTATCAGCGATCCAGAAATGTGTTAATATTTCTCGTTGTCATTTTCCTGGCCATCAGAATCGCCGTCGCAGTGATGGTCGCAATACAGCTGATGCATACCTCAGGGGGTAAGCTTTAATTATGTATGAGAAATTCAAGTGCATCAGGCTCATTCACACATACCAGAGGAACTTGTCCTCTCCGGCAATTATCTGTGCATCATTAACATTGCGGGAGATTCCCTATTTATGGGTCCCACGACATGGATACTTGGCATTGTATGGGAGGTCCTTGCATTGTGTCTCGCAGTCTGGATTGCTGTAAAGCACTTTCGTGAACTGCGACAACACTCATCAGGAGGTATCATCGGGGACTGTTTCATGATGTTAATTCAAACTCACGTTAATTACTTTGCGGGGTGAGCTCATAATTCAAATGCGATTCTCTTTTTCCGCTCACATTCTGCACATGCTAGCTTTGTTATTATTGCTTGCCTCTATGTTGCTCAATTGTCTCCAACGCTCTCAGCGGTACGCCGATCTGTCACCAGCCTCCCCCTGCGCTCATGATTCATCAATTCCATAGGACGAATGGTCCTTAGACGTTCAGATTTATGATGGTTTCGCTCAAATCTTGTACATGGTACAGCTGTCTGTGCTGGGACCACGCCTTATCCTCAGTGTTCGAGAATATCATGCAAAACTTGTGGCCGACTCTGATACAGCAACGGCTATGACTTCGATTGTTTTCCAGGAATGCGTTCATGTGGAAACTAGCTGTAGCGTGTAGCGCAGGACATTCTCGATATGATTTCTTTGCAATGGACAGGTAGTCTGCAGAGAGTGGGAGAATTTGTTTTTATGTATTCCAGGTTCTGTTATGGCACTTATTTAAGTTGTTTAATGTTGCAAAATAGATATATTCCATACTGGAACACTTGACAACCTACGAATAGATATCTATCCCCGACACCAAGCTTCACGCACGCGATCTTGGTAGTGCTGTCATGGTCGTAGCGGCTGCTGGAAGTTTGTTCGCCCCTAATGCCATCCCTGAAAATGGGAGCTCGTATGAGGAGTACTATTCAGCATCACCATCCACGCTAGCCGTTCCAGAGTCACGCACTGAGCACCTTTAGCAGAACTTTAGCTCGTTAATCAAGGCTACTCCATTGTACCTAAACGGATCTGGTACTGCAGGGCCATCAACGGTGTTGGAATTGGGACGACGACAGTGAATAGCAAGCGAGTACAGACGGTCAGACTTTAAGCTGATTTCCAGACTCCAGCAATGTCGGAGTTCGAAAGTAAACAAGCAGGAACGGCTATCTCGTCCCCACCATCCTTTCGCTCCTGAAGCTTTGAAGGCCTGACCTGTCTTTTTCGTTTTACGATCATCAAACATGTATCTGCTGACGATTCATATTTCATTCTGCATTTCATTAGGACGCCCACACTTCGCTCGTTTGTTTGTTCGCCATTGCACGTGCTTCTTCGCTCTCCGCTTTAAACGACCACTGTCACTCTCGCTCCGAGCCGTGCCATGAAATGCGCTGCTCACACTCCCTATTTTTGATCTCATCAATATCGGTCTCTACGTCTCCTTGGGACTGGTTTAGATTACAGGTGGAGGGAATATTTCTATTCGATTCTCACTATCCGGCTATTCGCTCCTCAAGCTCCTCGACGAGCTTGATCTTCTAGCACCAGTGCATTCATTCAAATTACTTGCTTATGAACCACTAAACTGGATCATCACACCATCAATTCAAGCTGTATCATCATAGCCTCTTCGTCATCGCATTGCCTATTACCTCCGTTCCTGTCTAAATTACTTGATCGCTCCTTCTCTTTACAGCCACCCCTTCTCTTTTGTACGACTGCCTTCATCGCCACACACGTTGATGACAAGGAATTGGATACGACGCATGTATGTACTTTTGGCCGCATTTGTACTATTCAGCGTGCCCATGAAATAGAAAAAAGGTTGTGGAATTTTGCCTTGAGGTTGACTTGGCGCGCCGTTGAATCAAACGTGTAATTATGTGACTATACCCAAAGGGCGAAAGAAGACTTCAAAGATGGCACGCACTGGCACATCGCCGAAATCAAGAACCGACGTTCTCCGATATTTTGCGGCGTTCAAACATTTTGTGAGTCATCCCCGGATGCACATTCCCTTTCTACCTGAATCCATATATATAAGTGCTGGCAGCAGGCGGTATATCAAGCACGAATACAATCGTTATATCTCCATCAAATCCCCCCGCTCGTTCGCTCCCATCCTCTGATAGTATGACTGTAGTCTTGAACGATCCCAGCTTGTGGCCACTCATCAGCGGAAATGTTATTTTCAGCTATTTCATAAGTTCGTGGAGAGCTTGCTGCATGATGACTGATGACTTGATTAACCTTGGCTGTGGTTTCGCAGTTGCCGCCTGTGCTGTGGTAATATATGACTGGGGTGAGCAATATCGCTTAAGTATGAAAAGACCACTGACATCATGGAATTTCTAGGACTTACGTTCGGACAAGAGGTAGGTCGACACCATTACAGTAGCAACTATCTTGTTGACAACAGTTTTACAGGTGGAACTGGTCTGGGTGAGCGGACTCCCACATCAAAAGAGCGATGTGAAAATAATACAACTAATTTGCGGCAGAAACAACGCTGGTCCCTGATTACCATTCTATATCTCGTTGTATGCAGCTTGTGTTTTTAGGCATGGTTAGCAAGTTGTACTGACACGAACATATCCAAGGCACGATATGTTGCAATAGGATATGCTGTGTACGCTTTGACGTCTAAGCCATTGATGTTGCGCTCATCATCCATCTCTCACAATCAGGATTAGCACGTCGAGTATGTCTGCACCTATAGAATCTGTTTTTTTTCTCCTTTGACGGGTGGCATACAGTCAGTCTTCCAACAATTTGGCAGACAGATGCAGTGAGTATTCCACACTGATGTCTTCCATTCTTGTTCAAACAACTAAACTACCATGTAGAGGTGAGTTAGATTCTCGAACAGCTCATTGGTTCAATATAATGCCTCCCACAGTTGTGAGTTTGTTGCGGGCCTGTGATCCTCCGAAGTTGATAACTAATGCTGCTGGATTTGTCAGGCCTTATCTTATACGATGCACTTAATTGGATGGGCGACATTTTACAAGTCATACTGGGCGGTGAGCTATACACCTCCGTAATATTGATTTGACTGACATGCCGTGTAAGTCATCATCATCACTCGGTTGCATGCCATGTATCAGCGATCCAGAAAGGTGCTGATATTTCTCGTTGTCGTCTTTCTGGCCACCAGAATTGCCATCGAAATAATGGTCGCAATGACGACGAAGCGGATTTCAGGGGGTGAGCTCTAGTCATGTATGGAATATCCAAGCGCGTCAGGCTCACTGATAAGTACCAGAGGAAATTGTTCTCTCCGGCACCTATTTGTGCAACATTGACTATGCGGGAGATACTCCATTTCTGAGTCTCATGACTTGGATACTTGGCACCGTATGGGAGGTCCTTGCCCTGTGTCTCGCGGTCTGGATTGCTGTAAAGCACTTCCGTGGACTGCGACAACACTCAACAAGAGGTATCATGGAGGACTGTTTCACGGTGTTAATGCGAACTCACCTTAGTTACTTTGCAAGGTGAGCTCATAATGTGGTTGTGGCTCTCTTGTTCCGCTAAATTTTTGCACGTGCTAGTTATTTGGCCATCTCTTGCTTCCATATCGGTCTTTTATCTCCAACACTCTCAGGGGTATGCTGATCTGTCGCCGACCTCTAAGTGCGATCATGATTCATCATTTTTATAGGAAATGTATTCCATTTATATTGGTTTCACTCAAGTGTTCGAGATGGCGCAGCTGTCTGTGCTGGGACCACGCCTCATCCTCAGTGTTCGAGAATATCATGCGAAACTTGTGGCCGAATCCGATGCAGCAACCGCTATGACTTCAATCGCTTTCCAAGAACACGTCGATGTGGAAGCTAGCGGTAGCGTGTAGCGCAGGATATTCTTGATATGATTGCTTCGCAATGGGCGGATAGTCTGCAGAGAGTTGGAGAATTTGCAAGTTTCTATGTATCACAGGTTCGGTTGTGGTGCTTATTCAAGTTGTTTAGTGTATTTCGTACAGGAGCACTTGACGAACTACGAGTAGAGATCTATCCTCGAGACCGAGCTTCATGCACGCAATCTTGGTAGTGCTGTCATGGGCGTAGCGGCTGGTGGAAGTTTGTTCGCCCCTAATCCCATCCCTGAAAATGGGAAATGGGGAACTCGAATGAGGAGTACTATTCAACACCCACTCGCGCTGGCCGTTCCAGAGTCACGCACTGAGCACTTTTAGCAGAACTTTGTTTGCTCATTGATCAAGCTACTCCATTGTGCCCAAGTGGATCTGGTACTGCAGTGCCATCAACGGCGTTGGAACTGGGACGACGAGAGTGAATAGCAAGCGAGTGCAGACGGTCCGACTTGAAGCTAATTTCCAAGTGTCGTTGAAACAAAACGGATGATTCAGAGTGAGGAACAAATGAACTAGTCATAATGATTAGCCAAAATTTGCTCGAAATTTTGAAGTCGAAGGAGTTGCATATTCTCGTTCGTCACTGACATGAGAGTGTACTTACACACCACTGAGCACATGAATAGATCCGAGTCCTACTCGTATTCAAGGATATATGCCTGAGCAGTGCGGCGTTTATGTGAGAAATTCGTTCCGTGTTCGTACATACGCGCCTCAAGACCTGTGCTTCGAACAGCCTTGTAGTACTTCTCTATATGGTGCTCGGTGAGGTCCGTTAGGCAAGGGGGGTCTTGCCAAGCCTGGGAATGCCCGACCAGGGTGCGCCACTTTTGCTGATGGACCTGTTGTGGTACCAAGTCAGCACTTGATCGAGATGGTAGATTTTCGGGCTAATCCTGCAAAATTTGAATGCGATGCAAGAGCATTGCATATAGAGTCACATCGTGAACGTCCTTGTGAATGTTGCATTGAAAATGGGCCCACACTAGGTTGATGAGAGCGACAACTCAGGATAGCCAACTGGACACTGAACAGAGCAAAGTATATTTCCGGTCCAGCGGACGTGCAATTGAGGGCGGCAGCAATAAATCAGTAGGACCATAGGCGAAGGCATGTATCAAGTGAATGCCTCGATCGAGGGAGCTTAGGACACAATAGCATATCAAAACAGTTAAACTTACCTTCGGGAACTTCCAGTACACCACAGCCACAATTGTCACGTATAATAGAAACTGCCTTCGTCGCCACTCAAGCATCGATGCCCATCAGTGATCGTGTTTTATGACAAGGAGTTCCTTTTTGTCGCGTCCGTATTAATCAGCACGTACAATTAGACCTGTGCTCCTGTCGTAAGACGATACATTCCCGATGGCACATTCCCTTTCTACCCGGATTCATCATGCTGAAACACTTCAATTTCAGATATCATATCATCCCTGACATGGACACCTTAATTCGGTAATGTAAGCGCTAGATGGTCGTATATTAAGTACGCATGCGATTGTTATACGTCCACTGAATTTTCCCGCTCGCTCACTCCCGTTTCTAATAGTATGACTTTAGTCTCGAACGATCCCAGTTGGTGGCCAGTCATCAATGCGAATCTTATTAGCAGCTATTTCCAAGGTTCGTGGAGAGCCAGCCGCATGATGACTGTGATAACTTGATTAACCTTGGCTATGGTTTCGTAGTTGCCGCATGTGGTGCAGTAGTGTATGATTGGGGTGAGCGAGATTAAGTATGAAAAGACCACTAACATTATGGGATTTCTAGGACTTACGTTCGGACAAGAGGTGGGTTGACACCATTACAGGAGCAGCCATCTCGCTGACAGCAGTTTTATATGTAGCTGGAACTGATCTGGGTGAGCGGACTTCCACGTCAAAAGAACAATGTGAAAATACCACAACTAATTCGTGGCAGAGACAACGCTGGTCGCTGATGACCGTTCTGTATCTTGTTGTATGTAGCTTATGTTTTTAAGCATTGTTAGCAACTTGTACTGACGCGAAATTATCCTAGGCACGATATGTTGGAATAGGATTTGGCGTGTACGTTTCGATGTCTAAGTCATTGGTGTTGCGCTCATTACCCATCTCTCACGATTAGGATCAACATGTTGGGTATGTCTCCTAGCATAAATTCTGTTTCTTTCTTGTGATGTGAGGCATACAGGCAATCTTCCAACATTTTCGATGACAAATTTAGTGAGTATTCCACTCCGATGCCTTCCATTCCTGTCCAAACGACTGAACTACCATGTAGGGGTAAGTTATATTCTCGAACAACTCGTTGATCCAACATAACGACTCCCACAGTTGTGAGTTTGCTTCATGCATGTGATCCTCAGAAACTAGTAACTGATGTTTGCTGGATTTATCAGGCCTTATCATGTACGACACATTTAATTGGACGGGTGACGTTGTAAATGTAATATTAGGCAGTGAGTTATACACCTTCCTGATTCTGTGATATTGACTTGATTGAAACTTCGTCCAAGTCATCATGATCACTCGGCTGCATGCCATGCATCAGCGATCCAGAAAGATGCTGATATTTCTCGTTGTTATCTTTCTGGCTATCAGAATTGCCAATGCAGTAATGATCGCAATACCGATAAGCCATATTTCAGTGGGTGAGCTTTAATCATGTATAAAAGATTTAACAGCACCACCCTCATTGACAAATACTAGAGGAAACCATTCTCTCCGGCACTCATCTGTGCGTGTTTGTCAATTCGGGAGATTCCTTATTTCTGTTTTCTATCACTTGGATACTTGGCACTGTATGGGAGGTCCTTTCACTGTGTCTCGCGGTCCGGATTTCTGTAAAGCACTTCCGTGAACTGCGACAACACTCAACAGGAGGTATCATGGGGGACTGTTTCACAGTGTTAATGCAAACTCACGTTAGTTTCTTTGCAATGTGAGCTCATAACGTGAACGTGCCTTTCTTATTCCACTGAAGTTTGCACATGCTAGTTTTTTGGCCATCTCTTGCTTCCAGATCACTAGTTTATTCTCTTCGTCGCTCGCAGGGGTATGCCGATCTGTCATCGACCCTCTACGTGCATCCATGATTCATCAATTCTATAGGACATATATTCCCTGGACGTTCAGATTTACCTTGGTTTCGCTCAAATGTTTCAGGTGATGCAGCTGTCTGTGCTGGGACCACGCCTCATCCTTAGCATTCGAGAATATAACGCCAAACTCGTGGCCGACTCCGATATAGCTACCGCTATGACTTCGATTGCTTTCCAAGAACGCGTCCATGTGGAAACTAGCAGTAGCGTTTAGTGCAGGACATTCTCGATATGTTTTTTTGCGATGGGCGGGTAGTCTGCAGGGGTGAGAGAATTTTTTTGTATTCATTTCACGTACTTGTTTAAGTTATTTGATGTTATCTGATAGAGACGCAGCTCTGTGCAATGTTTCTACTGGTGCTAGCTCTTCTCAAATACCCCACGCAGCAGACTCAGAACCGTGCGTGGAAGTTATTTCTACTGTCAAAACTTTCAGTCAGAGCTTTCGGACCATCTGGACGCTATCGTTTTACAAAAAGCATTGACAAGAAAGCCCCCTATTTTACGCTAAGATTTCTATTGCTCGACTCGAGCGGCGAGAAAATTTGTTGAAAAGCCAATGTGCCGAAAAACTCTGCAAATTACTAGTCGCTCGCGCGTCAGTGCCAAAAAACATACTGAACTGATGTCAAAGCAGAAACGCGACTCACTTGGCAAAAAAGAGGGGTCTGCCATGCCAGTCAGTTATGTGGTTAAATCCAAGACACAAACTACTGATACTCACGCAATAACCCTTAGGGCAGCCCTTGCACTGCGAATCTCTCGTGCAAAATGTGGAACATTGAGCCTTCCGAGCGAGAAGACTGCCATCGTCAGTGGGCATGGCAGATGTCAAAGTAGCAACGATGACGAGGACGATCGCAGAGGAGAAACGCATCGTTTGTGCTGGGGCAGATAAATCTGAAGAGGGGAGTAGGAAGACGACTCGCTTTTATATGCTGGATATCGTTCTTCATGGTGATACGGGAAAAATCTATCTGTGGGAATCTCCTCGATAGCCTTGATGCGTCAAGTGAATGTCCGAGGTCATAAGGTCTCCTGAAGAGTCGTGCGTCTAAAACGGCCGGCGGGAACGGCGGACTGGTGGGGGCACGCCTCACACCAGGGCATTCGCGGACTCTGAAGTGCAGCAGGGGCACCATGCCCCTTAGATTAGACAGTACTGTCCTGCATAGAGTAGATCACTCTCATGGGACACAAATGGAAATAAAAAAGGTCTCCTGAAATTATTCTTGCGTAGTTCTATCCTCGAATGGATACTATGAACCTATCTACGATGCTAACAGATCATCAAGCAGGGTCCATCAGCAATTTGGTGTGGAAAAATTAAAAATCCGTCACTAGTCATTGACGATGGTCGGGCGCGACCCCGGACCCAGAGAACGGTATTCCCCACAGATTCCTAGCGACACCCATTCGACAGGGATATCATGATATCATGCTGTTTCTGCTAGCACATATGGGTATTCTGTATATTTGTTAAGGAGCCAAGAAGAACGGAAGTTGGATATATAGTACTTGCCAACTGCGATCAATCGGTAAATGAGTCGTGAAATTGCGAACATCGCTAGATTGTATTGTTGTGGCAGAGGATTGACTGGGAATCTATCCATCCTCGCTGGATCCTATGATGTTACAGTATCATACCTTGGGCGAATCCAGAGACAAATTAAGCTATTCTGCCTGGACAGCGACACGGTTCTGTTATCTAGGACTGACCTCATTTTCTGCTCGCCCACGTATACACTAACATGCGCCTTGGTCTGATTACTCTGTCTGTGTACATTAATATGCAGTATATTATCTGATCTCACCTAAGACAGCGTTCCATAGTCCATATTTGCTACCTGAGAGTTGCAAACAAGGGCGTCCACACTTTGATAAGGCCGCAGGAAATTCAATACTCAGTACTCAGTCTCAATTCCCACTACAGCAGTATTATGGTGATGAGGTGACAGGTTGAGGCGGGCTCCTAAACACGGCCGTTCTTGATGTTTTTTGTTCTCACGGTCCTTTGTCCTTTGTCTCTGCGTATGATATTGACTTTAGTCGTCGACTAGATCAACTAGTTCATTACTTTAGCCATCGGAAAGGAGTTTTCCGTAGAGTCACGTACACACTCCGAGCTGTCCTCATCCAAACTCGTGGCACTAGACTTAGTGCTGGAGCCTGCGGGAAGCGCTCGATTGCCACCTTCAGTTCGGACTCAACTGCGAATAGATAATGCCGCTGGTGAATATAACTTTCGGATACATGTCATGAAGTTGTTCACCTGCAACAGCAAACGACGTCACGTCATGATTATACCAAAGTCCATGCGATCTTGAGGTTTCTCCTTGCTGCAGTCAACAAGAGCTTCAAGCGGAACCTCAAGTTTCGAGAGGAAGTTCTGAAACCTATGCAAGAACCATCTGAAGGAATTTGGGGTTTTCCACGGGTGCAGAAAACCCGTAGTGAAGTTATGGTTGGGGGTTGCGCAGTTTAGGCCATTAAAACAATGCGGATCAAAGTTCTACAGGCATTTCTGCATGCAGGTGCTGTCAAGGTGTAAACGTCAACGAAAATCCGTCACAATATCTCTAACATCCTGAGGTCCATCATGTTATCGACACAAGTCATGTCCTTCACTTGCGCGATGATATTGTTATCCGAAGCAATTCTCTTATACTCCCTACCCCACTGCTGCGCTAGCAAAAGTCTACCAAAAGGCTGTCCGAGGCGAACGATCAGCCTCAACTCTCGCGTAGTCGGCTCATTGTATCCAGGAGACTTGGACTCGGGCCAATCTTCTACGCTCTGCGTCTCATCTGCAAAGTTAATCAGCCCGAGATCATCCCGATTCCGCGCATGAACGAGCAGGAATGACTGCCGAGTATGCCTTGCAGGCAAGAATTGAACAAGGCTGTCTTCCGTCGTGACCTGCAGGTCTTGTAGCCCGTATGCCTTGGCTTCATATGTGAAACATTTCTCACCGTCTCCACCAGCACTTCGGTGAGAGGAAATGCGATCCAAGGTAGTTGCAGTCTGGCGTCTGCGAACTGAGGAACGCTAGGATTCTCCAGGAGGGTATATAGTCTCAAAGCCCACTCCACAGCCACAATACTGTTTTGCAGCATGGAGACCGACATCTGCATCTCATCTTCAGATAGATATGGCAGTGTAAAATATCGGCTGGCAGGCAACTGTTGAAGTTGGACGATTGTCCCAACCAGTCCAAGGCCGCAATGTCGCCCGAATGAGCTATGATCTCCTGTAGAAGTCGTCCGAGCGTGTTCCGTCTTTTTTCTCCATAAATTACAGGGAGGTGAATGCTGAAGATCCCAAACAGCGAGTACGCGATGTCTTCCTGCAAAGTAGTTACACGCGTTGATGCCCATCGGAGTTTCTCTCGGGCATCTCTTGTACCCGGATGAAAGTCAACAAGTGCCGACGCATTTATGCCTGTTGCATCTTCTGACTCTTTCATGATGCTGACAGACTCGTGGTTGCGTGAGCGGTCATCGAGATATGGGGTCCAATCTGCTTGGTAGAAGAGGACAACTTTGGGGGCAACAAACTCCTGGGCAGTCCTCGCGTGTTTCAAGTGCTGTTTGCGAGCGCGCCAGGCTCTGATGAAGGAAGGACATCCGATAGGTGGACAATGGTGAACGCTGAGTGGTGGCACCATACGAACATGGAGTTGACTGATTGTTGGACCTCAACATTGTCGTTCTGCTCGATGCAGCATGTGTCGCTGCACGCCCAACGGGACCCGCATGGCGAGCCACTTTACAGAACATCTGCAACTTCACAACTGTTCCGACGGGAATCAAGTCGTATGTTCCTGCCCTGAATGTCATGCAGTAGCGGCTCCGTCCTTTCCCACCTATGAGACAACATGACCCAGCTGAAGTACTTTGCGACCGCTTCTTTGATAGAGGTGCCTACGCATGTCCAATGAATGGAAAAGCTCTTTGTACTTTGTGCTCTCCGTGAATGCGTTGATCTGCATGTCCCGATTGCACAAACGTCCGGTAGATGTGTTGATTAAACGAAGGAGGGCGTTTTCCAATTGGCCGTGAATAGCTCGTCGAATAGCATCTTCTACTTCAAATGGATTGACATATTGTTGGCGTAGCTCCGCAAGTCATCTTCAAGTCGGCGCTTGAATTCTGTGGGGCTTACGTCGTGTCCGGGTCGGGAGCATCATCCAACTTGGAGAACATGATTGCGAAGACCTTGAATGCATCATCATAGCATTGTGCTCCACGAAGCGCTGTATGCTTCAATTCGTACCCGAGACAAGACGAAGGGCTAAGCTCGATGACCTACGAACATCATCACAAATATTCAAACAACGACGAATGTCGTCCGCACCTTTTCCGCATCCAAAAGGGCCTCCGCACAGCTTTTGGCCAAACTTCACCTTACTGTGACGCGCAAGGCATGACAAATCCATCCTGAATGCTCCAGGAAGTGTGTTCTTGATCGCCCAGAGATGAACATTCCCATGACCGTCTCCACTCGCGAGCAGTTCTTCACCGGAAGAAATCGCAAGGCAGGAGACCCAAGTGGTGTTCGAGTGCCTGTCCTATCTGCTGGTGTGACTGTGTGCTCCACAGGTGCACAGTCTTATCGTGCGAGGGATCGACGTTCTGGAATATTAGATTGATAGTGATGCATGCCACTGGTAGTGTCCTGTGAAAACCCGGTTAATAGTTAGGTCGATGACTCAAGATTGACAGGCATAGGTGGATAACGTGGATAACTCAGGTAAAAGGTATGTGCGTTTAAGATTTGTCTTCCATGAAGCTGATGCCTTTGCCATAATGGCGCTCGGTCATGCCAGGTCCGAGTCCGAGTCCCCGACAGCTAGTACTTATGTGGGACATGACCATGCATGACTGAGGCCTAGGTCGAACGAATTCAAATCTGACAAAGCCCGGTGACGCCTGGGGATTTGAATGAATGAATATTTTATTTGGCGGATGATCTACTGTACCGGCTCGCATAAGCATCAGGGTTTGATACAGTTTAGTGGTGGTGCACTGCTGGCATATCACGTCGATGGAGTGTTGAACCTACTACTACGTTCTTACCCGGCTTCAAGTTCTACTGACTATATTGTTTAACTTCACTCGCAGTAGACACGGGAACTAGTATGGTTTTTTATGATGGAAGATTCAGTGGCGCGCAAATGAGTCGGGATGAATGGCGATGGAAACAAGTTATTCGCCGAAATCAGGATGTTCACTTTTTTCTTTGTTTTGAACGTTCCAACTTCCAGTGTAGATTCGGGATCAGTATAGTCCTTCCAGTGCGTGGCTGTGAGTCATGAGAACAAAAACCTCTACTTCTGTACCACCAAGGGATACGGTTATTATACATATGTTACTCATGTTAGCAATAAAAGGTGATACAACTGGTACGAATTTCATCGTCATACGTCCACTAAAAGTTCGCCACTTACCCACTCACATCCTCTGATAGTAGTATGACCATAATCTCAAACGATCCCAGTTGGTGGCCGCTCATCAATTCGCATATCATTTCCAGCTATTTTATAGGTTTGTACTAGCACAGAGTCAGTCAAATGATAACGGTGATATGCTGATTTGACCTTCGCTGCATTTTTGCAGTTGCTGCCTCGGTTGCCGTAATATACAATTGGGGTGAGCAGGATTGTATGAAACAATTAATAATATCCTCATGGTTCTCCAGCACTTGCATTCGGACAAGAGGTAAGTCGATGCGATTACCGGAACGATAATCCCTCTGAAATAATTTCATAGGTTGAATTGATTTGGGTGAGCAGAACGTCTTATGTCTAAAGAACGATAAAAGAATACTATCAATTCGCAACAGAAGCAACACTGGTCCCTGATGACAGTCCTATATCTCACTGTATGCAGCTCATACCATAAGTTTGGTTAACAAACTGAGCTGATGTGATGATGTCCTAGGTGCGCTACATCGGAATAATATACGCTGGGTATGTTTGGAGAGCTAGTATCCGGTGTTATGCTGATCGCCCATCTCTCACTGTCAGCATGAACATACAGAGTGCGTCTGTTCATATACATTATTTGTTCCTTCTGACCAGTGATATACAGTGACTATTCAGATAATACCGCTGAAAGATGCAGTGAGCATTCCATACAGATGGTTTCCCTTGCATACCCGTCTAATCAACTATCATGTAGGGGTGAGCGACATTCTTGGATAGCTGTCTGATCCGCCCTCATGATTGCTACAGTTGTGAGTTTCTTTGGAGAGTGTGATCTTCTGAAGCTTATCCCTGATTGTATGTGCCAGGCCTTTACATGTATTTCGCATTATATTGGACGATGTGGGTCCTAATTGCAATACTTGGTGGTGAGCCTTCACAATTGTTATGTCTCGACTTCACTGAAACATCATGCGAAGTCATCATGATTGCTCGGTTATATGCCATGTATCAACGGTCCAGAAAGGTTCTGGTACTTCTCGTTGTTGTCTTCACGGCCATCAATGTCGCCAATATAGTGATGGTCACAATAAACATGAAGTATATTTCAGCAGGTAAGCTTCAATTATGGATCGAAGACTTCGAGTGCCTCGGACTCATTGATGAATACCAGAGCAAGTCATTCTCTCTGGCACCTATCAGTGCGTTGTTGAAAATCCCAAAATTTTGAGCATCATCCCCTGGACACTCGTCGCTGTGTGGGAGATCTTCACACTGTGTCTTGCAGTCTGGATTGCTCTAAAGCACTTCCGTGAATTGCGACAACACTCAGCGGGTGGCTTTATTCGGGACTGTTTCACGGTGTTGATGAAAACTCACATGAGTTACTTTGTGAGGTGAGCCGATCATGTGAACGTGGCTATCTTTTCCGTTGAAGTTCTGCACATGCCAGCTTTGTTGCAGTTTTATGCTTCACCCTCGGTTATTTTTCGCCAACGATGGGAAATGTATGCCAATGTGTCACTGACTTCCGCATGCGACCACACTTAATTGATGCATTATTTTCCACAGGATCCATATTCTCCAATGATTCTGATTTATTTCGGCTTTCTTGAAACATTCATCACTGTGCAGTCAGCTGTGTTGGGACCACGGCTGATCCTCGGTGTTCGAGAATATCACGCCAAATTCATAATCGACATTGATGCAGGACCTAGCCTGATTTCAATTGCTTTCCAAGAATGTGTGCATGTATCAACTAGCAATAGTGTGTAATAAAGCGTTCGATATTAATTACACTACGAGCGTAGGGACTCTGCAAGGAACAAGATAATTTGATTACATTTATGCGTTCTTGTTGCATTACTATGGGTACTACTGGCCACTGGCCACCGTGAGCGAAGACCGAGACTGACATAAATGCCTTTGAGAGTTCAGGCGCAGCCTGGAGTTCCTTACTCGATATTCACGCGCAAGTTTCATACGTCTGAGCGAATGAGTATGGCGTGGAAGTAACTGCGGACGAGAGTGAGCCTTTTCATATGCATGTGACAGGTACCGTTGCCCAGACGTATCAGGTTGTTTTTGGAATTTTCAATTTTAGTGTGATACTTTTACGCCGTTTGACCGTCACGTGACGTCCCGATTCGGCCGGATTTCTGGAACCCTTCTGCTTTTGGGCGGGCAAGTCTTTGTGTGCCGCTTTGCATTCTTTCTAACCAAACATTAGTTTATTATTCTAGATCTACTATTAAGTCATCTGTCGTTCCAAGGATGCAGGTCAATAATAGTGAAGACAAGAACTTTGAGGACAGATATTATACACGCCATAAAGGCATTTATAATGAGCGAGAGGGTCACAAGGAGTCTGATAGGTAAGAGTCTCAGTCTCTGGAAACAGAACTCTTTATTAATGAAACATGTACCTGATAGGTAAGACTATGTTGTGTCAGCATATGTTTACGATAAGGTATGGTATAGGTACTCATGTCTCAGTCTCTGGAAACAGAACTGAGACATTCATCTGTGTGGGTGCTAGACTTTATACTGTGAGTGTTTTTCTTGCTATATTAGAATGAAACTTGATACATGTGCAGCTTCGGGCCCAATATCAGCTCTCCCTCATGCCTGCCCCTTCTCCCCTTGTGCTTGCACTCTCTATTCAACATCTCATGCCTTGCCATTGGCTCTCTTGGTCTTCTTTGACTCGGATGATTCGGATAGTGCTGCCATGGTCCAGTCCAGAACTGTGGTTCGAACCCGACCAACGGTCTGGTTCTAGACAGTCCTGTCCACTGTGACACCATCGAACCTAACCGAACTGAAGTATGGTTCTCAGTCTGTGTTGTCTGGGATGGTTCTTCATCGGTTCTGAACCTGTTCTGAATGGTTCTGAACCTCATGTTGTTAGTATCTTTTCAGATGTGAAGATGAGTTCTGCTGTTCGCCTTACTAATGCTAAATACAGTGAGTTTCAATTGCAACTTGGTGATATTTTTTATTATTGTTCTACAATGACTGAATTTAACTCATCTGCATGTTGTGCAGACAGGAGCCTCAAGGATGCATCCGAGATCACATTCTACCATGATGCTGACAACGACATCCCACTACCTCCATCTGGTATGCAGCCAGCCTTATCCAATGCATTCTCCGTCCTCTTGAATTCCAGACAGCAATCGGCCTCATTTGGTGCTGGTGCTAGATGCTCCTGCTGCTTCACAAACTTGAGAGGCCTGTTACAGAGATACATGGATGCGTGAGGCAATCACGGCTCGTCAGAACAACAATGCCAACCATGCTCACAACCCTTGCAATGAGCTCACTGCATATTTGACATCACCATTGGATAAAGTTGTAGATATTGTTGTGTGGTGGGGGGTATGTCTTTTGTTTGCAGTTTTTCCAACTAGTTCTAATTGCTAGTTAGATTCATTCATTGCAGTATCCGACACTTGCTTGCATTGCACGTGATTATCTTCCCATCCAGGAGAGTGCAGTTCTGTCTGAGCAAGCATTCTCTAGTGGGGGCATCACATCTACCATCTGTCGTAATTCACTGGCACCATCCACCTTTTCAGCACTACAACTCCTGAAGGCAGCATACAAGTATGGACATGTTTTGGCAGTTTCAGGAGCATCAAGGGAGTCAGCTGCATTGGCTAAACTGTCAGTGCTCCTTCCAGATGTGTAGAATTTCACTGTACATCTTATTTTCGAAAATATGATCTATGTTTTGGTCCAGTTCACGTTCGAACCCTGATAGAACCGGACACGACTGTTCTGAACTGTTCTCATTGGTTCGGTTCTGTGTTCAATGACATGCCCTGGACTGGACGCAGGTTCGTTTTCTGGTTCTTACTCAGACCTCACTGAACTGGACTGAACCGGACCATGGCAGTGCTAGATTCGGACAACAACAAGCCATTCAACAAATCCTAGCGGGTGAAACCAAGATAAAGACTGTTGTAAGTCTTTCCTGCTGTACTGTACTGCAAACAGGCCTTCGACAGCATGTTTTTCAGCTCCCAAGGATGATCATAAAGTGAGACAGACAGCATGAGAGTAGTGTTGAGAGGCGCGTTGGACATGTCAGATTAGGTGTGAGCACATTGTTTCTCGGACATTTGCTCATCATTGGCTGAACATCATGTCAAAAGGTCTCAGATTAATTTTCATTCATTCCTGCTCTACCCGCACATAAAAACGGTCTCTTGTAGAATTAGGCATCTCAGTCTTCCTCCCAAATACTGAGATGTAAGCACTATTACTTTCATATAAAATACCAGCTACTAACAAAGACTTAGTACATATTTGTTCTAGGTACTTATAGCACCTGGAGTCTTCCTCCCGGATACTGAGATTACATATTTGTTCTAGCTCTTGTCTCAGCTGTGTGACCCCATCTAAGAAACCTACAAGTAGAGATAGGTGTTTAAGTGTGTCAGCTCTTGGGCCAGGTGAAATTGATGTGTGTATGGTTGTGACAGGCCTGTGACACTGTAACAAATTCTAAACAACTTTGGATTTTAGTTAATGATCAACATATGAGTGTCTGCCTATGTGTGTACAGGCTCTATAGAGCTGTATTCACTTCTCACCAAATTTGCGGTGCTTGTCAAGTTGTCCTCTGTCCACACTACTAGTATGCATCTTTCCTTATGGTTCTCGGTTCTGGCATTGGACAAACAGTTTGACTTTGGTTTGGACCGGTCCCAAACCATTCTGAACCATGAACCAAAAGAAGCTTGCCACATTGTTGAAGCATGCTTTGACACTTCCTTTGATGATCCACTTCAGCCTCAGGGATTCTCAAGCTTCAAGATTTACTTATTTCCATCAAATGCAGAGGCCCATTGACAAGGTAAGTCATAATATGCACTGTTCAAACTGACGAATCAGACCACACATCTCATTGTGCAACTCCTCCTGCAAGCCCATCATCCCACTCCCACAAAACCACCGCCTCCACCCCTAAAATCAATGTGCTGACAAAGACAAAGGCAACCAAAACCACCGAGTTTGAGGTGTTAGGTGAGTGACTTCATCTTCAATTATCTTGTGCCCATTTTCTTATGCTTGCTCTCTTGTACCTGTCCTCTTGTGCCCATTCTCTTGTGCTAACTCTCTCCCACCTGTTCTCTCATACCACACCCCATCTTTCATGCCCTCCTACTTCTTGATATTGAGACCATCGACCGTGGCACCACAACAAGTCCTACCTATGTTTTTTTTTGCTCATTGTAAATAAATTTGGTTTGGTTCATGTTTGAACCTGAAAATGACTGGACCTGACCATTCTGAACTGTTCGCCAAAGTCCAGTTCGAGGTTTGTCAAGTCTGGTAGAACCAAACCTAGGTCCAGTTCTTGGTTCTCGCTCGACCCTCTGTGAACCAGACCAAACTGGACCACAGCAGCACTAACAATCACAACCTGCATTCAGTCTTCCCAAGTTGATAGAGGAAGCCTTGTCCATCCACACACTGATCCGTAGCACAACCATTCAAGACTCACAGACATTTAACCACCCTCACACATGCACTCACACAAACTAGCTTCGAAGTTCTGTCTCTTAGCACTAGCACTGTCCTCCTCATAGATCTATTTGTTTGTCATGGATTCACACGCAGCTGGCGGGACTCGACAAGATAATTTGATTTGTTTGGCAAATTGTTCGTCGAAAGGAACTTGAAACATAGATTGCATTGGCCGGCAATGAGAAAGAATGCAAAGCGGCACACAAAGACTTGCCTGCCCCTGAAAGCAGAAGGATTCCAGAAATACGGCCGAATCTGGATGTCACGTGATGGTAAAACAGCATAAAAGTATCTCACACTAAAATTGAAAATTCCAAAAACAACCTGATACATCTGGGCAACGGTAGACAGGACTTATAATGGCAAAGGTGAGCGAGAGCAGGAAATGGATATAAATCCTGTCATATGATAGACTGTTGCTTGAGTAAAGTAGGAAACTGTAGAGTGTGCGACATTTCTGGACTGCGATCAAATAATGGGCTTGTTTCACCATTTCATAATGATTTCTTCTCGCTGTTACAGTAACATGGTGTGAGCCCCCAGCTACCAATATGCCCTCTGCCACCTTGCATGGCAATGACACAATACTTGGGCCTTTAGGCCTTGATGATAGAATGATAGAACATCAGGTATTTGGCTCCAGTCTGACAAAGGTTTAGCTAGCCTTATTTAGTGTATAATATGGAAAATATATATCACAATTGTAGATCACATGATAAAGGAATAGATAGGCAGCCTACATTGGTGGAATCTTCCAAAGCTACAATATTGATAGGCCTATGGTACAAAGTTATAATTCACTAGCACATTGGTGTTTTATTGACAGATGCATCCTATCATTGCATGGCCATATGCTGATGACAGAATGTGTAATCACTAACACTGTGCTTGGCAATGATATTGATGAATCATAACTTATCAAGATGCTGGTTTTCAATCAGGTATGTCTGGCTTTAGATAGGCAGCTTTGGATTGCAGAAGCCACCATCAATGACATTGTGACCTAGCATGATATTAGGTTGTCAAGCATATCTGCTGTTACCGAGATAGATTGTAATGTTAAGAAGTCACCACTGATAACAAAGTGTTAGGTCACGATATTGATATATAATAACCTATCAAGATGCTGGTTTTCAACCAGTTATGTCTGGCTTTAGATAGGCAGCTTTGGATTGCAGAAGCCACCATCAATGACATTGTGACCTAGCATGATATTAGGTTGTCAAGCATATCTGCTGTTACCGAGATAGATTGTGATGTTCAGAAGTCACCACTGATAACAAAGTGTCAGGTCACGATATTGATATATAATAACCTATCAAGATGCTGGTTTTCAACCAGTTATGTCTGGCTTTAGATAGGCAGCTTTGGATTGCAGAAGCCACCATCAATGACATTGTGACCTAGCATGATATTAGGTTGTCAAGCATATCTGCTGTTACCGAGATAGATTGTGATGTTCAGAAGTCACCACTGATAACAAAGTGTCAGGTCACGATATTGATATATAATAACCTATCAAGATGCTGGTTTTCAACCAGTTATGTCTGGCTTTAGATAGGCAGCTTTGGATTGCAGAAGCCACCATCAATGACATTGTGACCTAGCATGATATTAGGTTGTCAAGCATATCTGCTGTTACCGAGATAGATTGTAATATTCAGAAGCCACCACTGATAACAAAGTGTCAGGTCATGATATTGATATATAATATCTTATCAGGATGCTGGTTTTCAACTAGGTATGTCTGGCTTTAGATAGGTAGCTTTGAATTGCAGAAGCCACCATTCATGTCAGTATGACCTAGCATTTATATTAGATTATCATATTGTAGCAAGGTGCTAATTATCTATCTATTATATCTGGCTTTACAATCACTGACAGTATGCCACCATATGATATTGAGTTATCATGCTATATAAAGCTGTTGGTCTTCTATCAGATGCAACTACTGTTGCATGAGTGGCTTCCAGTGGCAGTTTCTGTAATCACTGGCAGTGCGTCAGGACATGATATTGAGTTATATAACCTATCAAGTTGCTGGTTTTCTACCAAGCATATCTGCTCTTACAGGGGTAGCTTCCGATGGGGGAAACCACTATTACTGACTGTGAGTCAAGTTCTGGCACTGCATCGTCAAGTCATAACAAGGTGTTCTCTGTCAAAAGAGCATATCTGCCATTACAGGGGCAGCTTCCGACGCCAGAAACTGCCATGAATGACAATAAATCAAGCTTCTAATATTCAGATTTCTCGCCACATCAATTTGAGGTGATTTGGTCACATATATATGTTCACATAGGAAATTGACATTGATTGGATAATATATTTACAAAAACAGTAAATAACTAATGTGTGTTGGCAATGGTTAGTTCTCGCAAGGCAGCACATTTTTCCCGAATCTTAGCTAGCGCGCTGTTTTTGCTGATACTGCGCTGAGAGGAAGAAGAATTAGGAAATATTCGACTATGCAAGGTGTGAGTTTAGACCCCATAGAGCTGACAATATAAGTTACGAACCGTGTCCACCATGTCATCAGGTCATCAACTTCCTCAATTTCGTCAGGATCCTCTAGTAAGTCGAGAATGCTGTGATAGAAATTGTCGGAGTCTGTGACCGTGTCGGTACGTGAAAATACTGACGACGAACTTAAGGCAAACCGAATCTAAAGGGAAAAAATCAGCAGTAGAAGGCGTATATAATAAATTTGCGTGCCTGTGTAGCAATGTAAGCTAGAGAGCCTTTAGTCACAGACTTCATACCATGCAGGTAAGCGTTGCCGGAGCGCGTAGCCTTCGGCTCCTTATCCACCGAGCTCGGAGATGTAAAAACATGTTTGAAACCCTACATAGCTCGGAGTAAGGACTTTATCAGCAATGAAATCGAGCTTACGAAAGTTAGTATCTCGCTCCTGAGTAAGCCCTTCCATGGATCATCGGGATCATAGTGGTACCCAGCATATAAGAATACAGGCCATTGATCACCACTGACTGCGGTTTCACCGCTCTTCAGAGCCTGTTTGGTTCTGTGTAATGTTATAATAGACAGTTAATACGATAGGGGAAAGACTTACTCTACGTCTGACCAGTCAAGACCGGCGGGGCAGAGCAACCTACCGGTAACTTCATGATTGAACCCGCGGTCCGATTTGATATTCTGGGAGAGGGGCGGTATGAGTGGCTGTCCTCTGGGCATAAGCCATTCCAGGACAGCAGACTTGAGGGTCTTGGTATCGTCGCCTCGCGCACCAGAGGCTCCTTTACCTAACTGCAAACGATAAGTACGATGATATTGCAAAATAAAAACTTACTAGTTCTCCAACGTGAATAATATCCTCCTCCTCGCCGTCCGTCAGACGAGCTAAAAGACCAGGGTAGGAATCTATCAGTTCCATGAAAACCCTATGTTCGCGTCGAACACTGCGTTGAAAAATATTCAAGTCCTTGCAACAGTTAATGGTCAAATTGGACGCACTCTGCTGGATAATCCTCGATGGATGT